GCTTAATATTTCTTTTAATTCATCAATTCTTCCCTCAATTCACTGATTTTCCCCTCTGAATCATGCCTAATCTCTGGTTTGCAGCTTTCGCCGGCGCGGCGTTTCTTCCAGCGGTTTTGTGTTCATCTTCTGTGGCGGAAGATGACGGCATCAGTGAGTTGATAATCGCACTTTACGAGTTTATTTGAGGATAAAGAAGAAGAAAAATAAAAGAATAATCCATTTCCTTCTGTTTTTTGTTTGCTTCAGCTCCCATTGACTGCCTACCCGTGATGAACGGACTACGCGCAGATGTGGGGCTGCCGCCTCTTGTCTCGATTAGCAAGAAGAAAGAAATAGAAGGAGAAGATCAGCTTGATGATGTTCCTCTGTGTGACGTTATAAGAAAGGTAATATAAAACTTTTCTCTCTCTTTCCTCTCTTGCAGCATCTGCACAGAAACGCACACAGCAAGCTATAGCTAATTCATCCATTGTAATTGTAATAGTAATTAATCTTATTCTTCTTTTTCATATCACCCGTTATAGTATAATTGTAATAATGAGGAGGTGGTTGCATATCTCTGAACAGAGCTCCTAAGATTTATATAATAATCAATATTATATTTTGATAATAATTTTAGGTGTAGCAAGACAATATAACTGCAATTTTCTCTCTCTTTTCCCTTTGCGTTTCTGCTGCTGCAGGGAACAGACCCTGGTTTATATCTAAGAGGTGTGGGTTTATCATTAGCAGCGTCAATTCAAGACAATCCTGAAGGCGACTGCATTGCAGCAGTTCATGAATGGGTTAAAGGAATTCAATATTTAGGAAAGTCTCTGCCTCCTGTATATACACCAGGAGAACCTCCTTATGATAGACTAGACACAGTTTCTCTTCTAAATGTACTAAATACTCAAGAAGGGGCTTCTTCTGCATGCGTCGTTTTGAGCTGCCCAGACACCACAGTTCCTCAGGGAAGCAGCAGCAGCAGCAGCACACAAAAAGCAGCTTCTGCAGCTTCTAATTCAGATAAGACAGCTAAAGCAGCAGCAAACGGAGAGACAAGCGATAAACAGACAGAGCAGTTCAATGCACTCGTCTGTCTCTTCGAACCCAGCGCGCTTAACGAGGGGATCGCTCCATTCACGTAAGCCTTTGCTGCTGCTGCTCATTTGCTGCTGCTGCTGCTGCTGATGATGATGATGATGATTTACTGCTTTATCTGCTGTCCTGCTGCTGCTGCTGCTGCGGACTTGCTGCTGATGCTGCTGCTTCTGCACATTGTCATTGCATGCTGAAGCTGCTGGAGCTGCTGCTGTTGCAGGAGGCGCATCTGATGTTTCGTCTGCTGGTGTACCTGCTGCTGCTGCTGCTGCTGCTCTTGTTACTGCATGCGTTCATACATTTGCTGCTATATCTGCTAATGCCGTTGCTGCTGCAGCTGCTGCTGCGGTTGCTGTATGCGTTAATAAATTTGCTGCGGCTGCTGCAGTGCAGTGTCTGTACACCTGAATAATATATTTTGTTGTTTTGTGTACAGAGAGAGCCAGTGGAAGACAATAAAGAAGGTGTTGAAGAACTCTGCTTCTGCTGCTGCACCTTCTCTTGCTGCTGTTGCAGCAGCAGTTTTTGGTTTGCTGCTGCTGTAGAGGGTTTATCTACAGGGATGCAGCAGCTGCTGCTTCTTTTTGTGTAGGAGCAGCAAAACACTGTCTATACGCAGGGGGCAGCAGAGTCTACGTCTTAGATAAATATAATTATTTTATTATTATATTTATCTTCATCTCCGATAAGAATGCGGGAGGGCTGCAACACAGCACAGGGCTTGCTGCTTAACTTTTTTTTTCTTTGCTGTTTGTTTATTTCTTTTGATTTATTATTATGTTTGGTGCACTCTAAAGATAATTATGAAAAATAATTTATGTTATGCTTCAACTTTATTCAGTGTTGATTATATCTTCTCTCGTTACCTGTCTTATTACTTGCAGTTGGAGTGTATGCTGAGGTATTTGCATGCAGACTTCCTAATTTATGATTTCATCTTAAATGCATTCGTTAGTAAAATATAATGTATATATTTGTAGAATATATATAATATATAATGTATAATATATAATATATAATATATAATATACAATATATAATATATAATATAATATATATACAATATATATATGCATGTGGTGTACAAATAATATATATATATATATATATATGTACCTATATATAAGTGTATATGTTTATACGAGTATACATATATAGATATAATATATATAATATATATATTATATATAATATTATATATTATATATGGAGTGTATATGCAGATGAAATGCATGAAAAAATATGCGGAAGATGAATTCGCATTAAATTGACAAATTTGCGTTTTTTGTTTTTTCTGCTTTTTGATTTCAATGCGCGAAATTAAAAACAAACAAACAAACAAACAAACAAACAAATAAACAAATAAACAAACAAATAACAAACAAACAAACAAATAAATAATTAACAAATAAACAAATAAACGAACGGGTAAACAGAGAACTCCGTTCAAGTAGCTACGCACCTACGCATTTTTCTTTGCATATAATATATTATATATATTATATAATATATATATAATATATATATATATATATAGACAGAGAGAGAGAGAGAGAGAGAGAGAGAGAGAGAGAGAGAGAAACAGAGAGACAGAGACTATAGACTATGTGTACGTACTATATATATAGCTATATATATATATATATATATATATATATACGTTATAAATATATAAAATATATAAACACATATTTTATATATTGGTGTGTATGTAGTTTTGTAGAGTTTGTTTAGAGTGAAGGAAGGGGTTAGGGTTTATTTAAAGCCTCCGTACTCTAAACCCTAAACCCTAAACCCTAAGGAGTAAACCCTAAACCCTAGTCTGTTCTCTGATAAGGCGTAGGTTTAGCCTCGTTGTTTATTAGTTAGGTGCTGCAAATAATAAACACTTAATTCTGCTGTATGTACACCCCAGACATACTACTATATAAATATTTTATATTATTTTAATAGATATTTAAAATGCTTCCTTTAGGAGTTAATTTCGTTTACATTATTTAAATAGAAGAAATAAACTGGAAGCAGCAAATATAAGAAGACCCCCAAAGAAGAAGAAGGCCTTGCTGCCGCAGCAGCAGCAAAACATGCAGCAGCAGCAGCAAAACATGCTGCAGCAGCAGCAAAACATGCTGCAGCTGCAGCAGCAGAACGTGCTGCAGCAGCAGCAATGCATGCAGCAGTACCGGCAACCCATACACAAACAGCAGCACCAGCAACAAGTGCAGCAGCAGCAGCAACAGATGCTTCTGCTTCAGCTGCAGGTTGCGTACTCATGCACGTACAAGAGCCGCCCCCTGAGATGTATTTTGCTGCTGTTGATGCTGCTGTTGTTGCTGCTGCTGTTGTTGCTGCTGCTGCTGTTGCTGCAGCAGTTTGCTTTCACCTCAAAGGTCTTGATAATAAGACAGAAATGCAGTCGTGAGGAGACAGCCTCTTCTAAACAACATTTGCTGCTGTTGTTTGTTTAAAGCTCTGTCTCGCTGCTGCTTTACTTTTTTGTTTCTTCATAAGTTATTATACACCATTATAATTTATGCATTATGTTTATTTCTAGAGAAAAGCAAGATAAATAAACAATTAAATATATGCATTAAGTGTAAATATAATAGATATATATATTAAATAAATAATGAACAGCCCTTAATTAGGACAACCCTCTATGTTGGGGTGTATAGGCAGCTAGTTCTTTTAAAATTATGGTGTATATGCAGCTTAAAGAGAAACAAAAAGAAAGTTGAGGTGTATGCACAGCTTTAGATGTATAGAAATGATGTTATAATAATAGCAGCAAGAAAAGAAGAAGAAATCTAATGTCTCTTCTTTGCTTCTGCGGTGTATAAGCAGAGACAATACGCATATACACATAAAGCAGCATTTTAATGAAGAGACGAAGTAAATAATAATAATAATAATAATAAAAAAGAAAAAGATTTAATAATAATATAAAGAGACAGCCCACTGCGTACTAACAAAACAAACACCGGCTTTTTCTTTTTCTTTACGTTTTCATTTCTTTATTTTTATCTTTATCTTCTCTATCTTCTTCTTCTTCTTTTCTTTTTGTGCATGCATTAAAATGCTTTTAATGCTGTTGTTGTTTTGATGTCTCTCTCTGCTCTTCTCATGCCCTCAACATCTCCACAGAGAAGAAAAAGAAACGAAAAAGATAAAGACAGAGAACAAAGAGTTGAAGACAGAAGAAGACAGAAAAGATAAACACAGA